TATAGTTGTTCTCCACAGTGTATTTTTAAGTTTCCACTTACATTAGAGTATGATAGATTGGTATCAATGATATGTAAAATAATGAGTATGAGCACTCGGTTAATATTAATGTAACCGGAAGATATCCATATTCTTTTTCTCCGCAAGAGATTGCTTGTTATGTTGAGTTTAACATCGAAGACGATGAAACTCTGAAAGGTCTTTTGAGGACTCCGGATGAACATTGGAAACTTCTTATGATAAAAATGCTTGAAATATACATCAAGTCTGAAGACGTACACAATATTGAGGTCCCGCAAAATAGGGATAACCTTCAATTATCTGGTGGTGTTTTTGGAGCAGTTTTGTAACAAGTTATGGAAGAAAGAGTTTGGCCAGATCTAAACTTATCACCACGGGCGAATGAGGAGCGAGGACATAATTTCTCCCTAAGTTTACATAATTCACACGCCGAGTGGTAAATTTCAATTTTCCTTTTCTTAGTATGATTTTTTTTATGTATTATATTCGTACTAACACTCATATATTCCAAAGGGGGGACCGGCCAAATTTGAATTTTACAAGTTATGAACCAACCAACAGTTGGAATATGCCCAATTTTGGTGGTTTGGATCATGCTGGTCCATCCAAGGAGTCATCAATAACTCGATAATGTGCATCATGGGCTATCAGCAGAATATGAATTGTAAGTTAAGAGATAAAGTTAATATATAATATTGGGATGACTTTGAGAAAATCATTATTTTATTTGTTGTTCAGTGAAAACGAGCAATATGAAGGTCATGTCCTTACTCAGTTAGCCGAAGATGATATATTTAATCAGGATCTGGCAGATGCACAGAGTCAGGAAGATGATAGTGATTATGACAACAATGCTGATGAGTCTGGAGATGATACACCCTTCCCTGATAAGGGCAACGATGTTGAGGAAACACGCTTTGCTGATGAGAATGAGTAACCTGATTTGACGAGGGAGCATGATGTCACCAATGAGCATATTCCATATATACAGACTCCACCTCCCGTTAGACCCAGACTGTACGAGTACCATGTGTCATTTTATTCAAGGGATATTCCAAGGGTGCTATCAAAGAATATGTTTTTTGTTGATAAAGTGCACCTTAGCAGGGCGGTGCAAAATTTACAGCATAAAAAAGTGACGTAAGCTGAGGTTCATGAGTCATCTCCGCAAGTATATAAGGTTATTTGTCATAGATGATTTCAAGGTTGTAGATGGATGCTGCATGCGAGAAAGTTGAAAACAAATATGTGGATGGTGGGGAAATACATTGGCACCCACACTTGTGATATGGACGCATTCAATGGGAATTATTTTAACTTGAATATTGACTTGATTTCTCTTATCTTGATTCCACACATTGAATCGCCCATAAGGTACAAGATTAAAGAGTGTATAACATCTGTCCACTAGGTATATGGTTGTACTATTACTAAAAGAAAGGCATTTCTTGAGCATAAACATGCGTTTGAGATTGTTTATGGTAATTGGGATAAGTCATTTGCCGCTCTACCCAAGTACATGGCTGCTTTGAAATACTTTAACCCCAGTACTATTATTTAATGAAAGCTTGAGCAGAGTCCGGTAATACCAGAATGCATAACCAGATATGTGTTATGGGCATTTAAACCATCCATTGATGGTTTTGTGCATTGTTGGCTGGTAATCTCCATAAACGACACTCATCTATATGGAAAGTATGATATTAAGATGTTGATTGTCATTGCAGTAGAAGCTAATTGAAGCATATTTCCCCTAGTATTTGCTATTTGTGACAATGAAAGTCAAGAGACTTGGACATGGTTTTTGAACCTCTTGAAGGAACACGTTGTCAGATAGTGTTCATGTATTTGTCTAATATTTGATCGGCATGGTGGGATTTTATGATTTGTAGAGACTTTGGATGTATGGAAGGAACCGTATGCCTACCACTGTTACTGTGTTAGGCACTTGAAGACCAACTTCCAGCTGGCTTATCCGAACAAGAGCTTACATGATTTAATATGGATGGCTGCAACAGATCATCAAGAGTGTAAATTCAGGAGGCGAATAGAATTAATTAGGCAGGAAGACCCATAATATTATCGTTGGTTGATACAACATGAGCTTGATAAGTGGACTTTGCATAAGGATGGTGGTATAAGATGGGGAATTTTGACTACAAACGTGTCAGAGTCTTTCAATGGGTTGTTGAAGTCTGCTCGTGGATTGCCTGTCACTGCCATGGTGCGTATGTCATTCAAGCATATGGCGAAGAGGTTTGTCGAAAGATCCCAAAGTGCATCGTCCTTGTTGGAAAGGGATGTTCAATTTATGCCACAGCCGATGGAACGATTTGAGAAATATAGGAAGCAAGCACATTGGCATATATATATATATATATTTACAGTATTGCAACGAGCAAAATATTTTTAAAGTTTGCACTGGTCTGCATAAAAAACGCGATAATAATACCCACACCATCAATGAATCTAGAAGATTATTTTCGTGTGGGAAATGGTCGATCTATCACTTGCCATGCTCACATGCCATGAAGTGCTTTCAACATGCTGGTTTTGCAGCGATGAGGTACGTTGATAGAGAATATGGTGTTGCTAAATGTGTAAACACCTATAGTGGCCACTTCCAACCAGTGGGTGATGAGCATTATTGGTCGCCGGAACCATTTAAAATGGTATGTAATAAGGATAATGTGTGTCGCCGACAAGTGCAAAAAAGGACGCGTATACGAACCAAATGGATGTTGGTGATACCGTTTATGTGCGTAAATATGGTATATGTTCCCAAACAGGATACAATCGCCATAGATGTCCTTCAGTTGGTTTGGGAAGCGGTGGTAATTCAGCTCCCGGTAGAAGTTCCTCCAATGTGCCCAATTTTCAAGGATAAACTTAGTGATTTGTTGCAGTGATTTTGTTGTACTAAATATCTGTAATGGTGTTGTTTGCAATATTTATGAAATAAAATTAAGTTTCCAATAGTCTTAAATCTAATTGACATTAAGCATTGAAGATTCAATACAACAATTAAAAATAACTTCAAGAAATAAATAACGATTTTCATTCGTCATTATCGTCACTTTCTGGCACTATTTCATTGCCATTGTCTTCATCTTCTTTGTCAACATCTTGTACGCATCCGTCCGTACCGAGGGCATCATAATCTAGGCCCCAGTTGACACATATTTCTTGTATTTCATTGCTATCATCAATATGACCACTTGCGTGATTTCTACAACAATATGGGTCTCCTACATCCAACGTCTGCGGTAGAAACTTAGGTAGTCCCTCCCACTCGACAACTGTTGGAAATACAGGATAATCAATGTCTATATGCAAATTTTTATTTTTTAATAAATCCCAATATTGATCCTCCGTTCCTTGCAGGTAGTTAAGATCATCCAGTGTATGATGAACATCTAGTGCCTTTTCAATCTCTAAAATCTCCTTCATCAAATGCCGAATAACTTCTGGTTCATCTTTATGTGTGTTTGTTTGGAATGTTGCAGACAGTACTTGTGGTACAACTAGCCCATGGCAATGGCATAGTAATTCATCACACCTTTTTGAGTAAAGGGGAACCCATTGTAGTTTTTCACCCCAAATTTGCATACCTTAAGGCTTTGTAGAATGCGCTTCCCCTTTAATAATGTGTCGTACAACTTTGAGATCAGTATGTATATTGACAGACTTATTTTCCAAGGGACGTAGAACATTATACCACTTGTCATCCACCAAATCAGTATATCAACCTAGCATATGTTTTTCAAGGTAGGGATCACTATTGTTATGACATGTTCCATGTGGATTTGTTGAACTACCTTCACCTTTTGCCTCTTCTTAAACCACTTATTAAATGTTAGTAGCATTTTTGAAATGTTGAAATGGTTTTTGAATACTGGAATGTTGGTTCAACTTAAAAAGGACAAAACTGCACGAACTTGTACGTTAAACATAGCTCATCAATAATATGTGTTATGTGTATTTTCATATAGACCTAAAAAAGTTGTTGACCTGAAAAAGCTGCACAGACTTGTACCGTAAAGAATCATTAGCACGCGAAACATAACGCATAAAAAATATGCGTTATGTGTATGTCATGTCGACCTAAAAAAGTTGCACGGACTTGTACCGTAAAGAATCGTTAGCACGCGAAAATAATGCATCAACAATATGCGTTATGTAACCTAAAATCACTCATAGCTTCCTATAAAAAACCCGCGTATTTTGCATTATTATTTGCGGCTTAATCAAACGAAGAAAACAACTTTCCATAAATTTTTCATGCTCGAGCATTATGACATGTCTGGACGCAATGACGTACCAAGGTGTTACTGTGGCAAATGTGCGATTTTGACTCCATGTTGGTCAAATTGCAATCTAGGTCGCAGACATTGGATGTGTAAACAAGTTGTAAGTTATTATTATTGAAAGTTATGTTGGTTAAGAGATTATTTATAACATGTTAATTAGTAGTCTTTTGTTGTCATCCCTATTTGTAGGACAAAAATCAATGTAATTTTGAAGAATGGTATGATGAACCCATTAAATAAGAATACTATAAATCATGTTTCCTAAACATTTGGAATCCGACCGGTGAGTACGAACTTCAGATCTTGAAACACCAAGAATAACTTGCGGCGGTGAAGGAGAAACTGAAAGAGGCAAAAGAAGAAAATAATCGGTTGGAAGAAAAATTTCAGGGTTGAAGCAGAGAATAATGGGCGATAGTGACTAAACAAACACATGGATGTGTTAAGTGTAATTTTTTTATTTTTTATGTTGTACATGTCATGTATTATGTGTATTTTTTAACGAATTTAAATCTACGTTAATCAATTTTATTGTTTGTGTTCTAGTTTTAAACTAATAAATAACCCAAAAAATAAAAACACATGCGCTTATTATGTAAAACATCAATACTTTTACTATTAGATATTTAATGTCATATATGCAACTCAAAATACATATCAATGTATCTCATAGCCTATATGCTTTAAAGAATTGGCTGGCCTGAGGCGCATACCATCCCACCCGACTACGCTATCGGGATCATCCTCATCGTATCGCCTCTTTTTCTGATGATGCGATGCAGCATGATCATCAGGAAGGCTAGCAGGCTCAGTAGAAGCGGTCGTTGGGCCATCAGTAACCTACAAAATAATAATATATTTTAGTATATGAAATATAGAATACTAACGTACGTGTTAGCAAAACAATTTAATGGTCAAACCACAGTGTCAGCGGGCTCCTGAATAAGATTATCCGTCTCCGGCAAGCGAGTATCGCACAATGTGGCCTTTGTGATGGGTGATGACTAAATCATTAATAAAATATAAACAATTTAGATATTACTGACTAATCTATAAGGCAAAAACAAATTGAAGTAATAGTAATAAAAACAAACTTACGCCTGAGTAGGTACACAATGCTTTGTGGGAACTCCGAGGTGCACTGTAGTAGATGAAGGATGTGACGTCTCGACCTGATGTGATGTCTCCCTATATGTTCCTGAAAGATCCTCAGTAGCCCTCGATGAAGAGCCATAACTCTGCAACCCTTGATGGCTCTGGACGACCAGGAAAATACTGATCCCAATCATACTCCGTAATGACGGTGCCCGCGATCAAAACTGGAGTTGACGGGGTCAATTGTGAAGTCCCTAGTGATAACTAAAGGCTGAATGATGGCATATCATGACGAGCATCGTGTGGCTCAGGGTAGTCACCCGACTGATTATCTCCAATATCCTCCATGGGTGCATCAATTCCTTTTTGCTGGGGACCCCGTCCTCACTGACCACCACGACCACGTGGGCTACCCCTTCCTCTCAGGCCACGCCTATCACGTGCTAGGGCCACATGTGGCCCATGATGGTACTCCTCATGTGGCACATACGCAGCCTCGTAACCTAACCGTGTATCCTCTCGGGCAGCTCTCAATGTGTAAGCAGCAAGATCAACAACCCGACGACCAAACCCGTGCACAACTGCCGCTCCGTCGCCTACAAGCTGTAGCATCTCCAGTACCAACTGGTAGAAACGGTGTAAGCCAATAACCTGCATAGGATATAACATATTAATTAAGGAAGGATGGTAAAGTAATGTAACATGATAAGTAACTATATCAAATAACATACCAGTGCCTCATGCCTCCCGACGTATGGAACGTACAGACCACCATTGCGATGAACAAGATTCCCGATCAGAAAGCAAGTAACACGGCGATACCAAACCATGTACTCATGCTCCCCGTCAACACGCTTATGTGGAGGGTATGGCGGAATTAAGCCATATCTTTGATGCCAATCCATATCTGGGCCTCTAGCTAGGCCAAGTATGTCTAGTAGACCATGGTGCGATCATCCTGCTCGTAATGTGTGGAACGTCAACTGGACGGAATAGGTATAAGGTGGCGTCGACCAAACTGTCGAAGGACTCGCTCGGTGGCATGCTACTTGACTATATCGAGACATATAAGTGGGACTGAAGACATCCACATAGCTCGACGGTGGGAGCAATAATATGGCAATCCAGGGATGAGCTCGTCGTTGTATGGCCTCAATATGAACTATTTATTAAACACAAGAATCATGAGTAAACGCAAGACAGATCAAGTATTATCAAACAAACTTAGTCATATATTTACCTTAGCTTCTTCAAGTAAATCCAACAGATCCCTGTAATAAGGGACATGATGTCGAGCCTCGACCTCACGGGCGACCTCGCCTATCTACCCACCTCCTATCGAGTGGTAGAAATGGTGGAGGTGGTGCATCTAAATGAACCGCTCCTAGGCCCAAACCTAATATTGATTGTGGACGTAAAATTTAAGTTATTTTGTATTATCTCTATTATAATCATGAAAAGAATTGATAATGTTATCACCTGCAGCAGCGGAATAAAATCGACGACGTCTCTCACATTGCCCATAGACGACCGACACAGCTGCCTATAAAGGTAGGCTAGAACAGCTCCACCCCAGCTGTAAGTAGGTAATTCATCTAGCCGCTCCAGATGATGCACAAATCGCAAGCTAACGAGGTTTCCCGAAGTGTTCGGGAACAGAATACCACTAAACATCATCATCAGCAACAGCCCCGGTTGTTGCTCGATAGCCTATGCCGGTGAGTCATCAATAATCTCCGCATGCAGCGCCACCAGATGCTGCCTAACGGGCGACAGCTACAATCGACTGGCACCACTCATAGCAGCCAGCTCCATACGTTGAAAATCGGTGAGCCTCTGCAACATATGTAGATAGTCCTATACAACATATGTAGATAGTCCCCTCTTGTATAAATCCCTAAGAACCTGCGGGTAGCTGACAACCATACCCTCAACGGGCAACCCAAATAGAACCGACACGTCCTCTAGCGTGATGGTAGCCTCGCTAATAGGTAGAAACTCCCAAAGATCGTCTATACGTCTGGGGTGGAAGGTCTGGGACAACAATTGTCCATCCAATATGTGTGAAGACCTATGACCACCCTGGAGCAAACAGTAGATGTCGAACAGTAGGTCCAGGATGCACAGGGGGAGGATCCATGACGATGACTATAAATTGAATAATATTGATTAAAGTATTTTTCTCTTTAATCGTTTAACATCTTTAAATATATTGCGATATTTTTTTATATTAATATTTAATCGATAAATTTTCTATATTATTACTTGGGGTGATAAATAAAATAAATATTTATATGTTAGTTTCTTCGATTTTTTGACTAAAATTCGGCAGGGTTATGTTTGAACAATCATCTTTTTTTTTTCCAGATATTTTTGGTTTCTTAACTAATGACGATATTTTTAATAATTATTCATATAAAAAATACTAAATAATATTTAATTTATTTCATTGGTAACGATTTGTTTGTTAACTTTTATATTTTACATATAAATCCGGCAGCGTCTCTTTTGTACTATCAACTAATTATTTTATGATTCATATCTAATATTTGATTGATATCTAATAATACATTTAATAAATACTTAATAATTGATTAACATTTGATCAATAATTGAGTACTCTAACCGGGTTAGTTAATGAGGGCGCATAGTCTTTATTGTACACTAAAGAATCCTAACGAGCACTAAAGTCACACTACTCTAAATGGCCTTAAACAATATCAACTAACATAAATTAAAATTTATTATCAGTTCTACTAGCCTAAACGACACTACATAACAATAAAAGGCACAACATAACACAAAAGGGTACTAAACAACAATAAAGTCACATATTATTATATGTACAATACTAAAGTCACATATAACACTAAGTATTCAACAAAAACAAATATACAATTTTTCATAATTTTTTGCACATAAATAAACAAATCCGGATAAAAAACAAAAAAAAAAATATATCAAAAAGCGATCACAAAAAGCATACAACACGGTAAAAATAATTAATTAGTCAATTATATACATGAGTTATACTATAAAAGTGATTCGGAATACCTCTTTTTAGAGGTTTTTGAATTGAGAAAGAATAAAGATTTGACCACCGAAACAGGCAATAAAAGAGCTGCACTACACGATAACGCCTTGGATCGGATGTTAGCTCGCTAAATTAATGACGGGACACTATTTTTGGGGGATGGGTGGGATCCAATGGAGCTTTATGCTTTAAAAATGGTGTGTGTGTGTGTGTGNGCGCTATACCTATCTGTCTTTTCAACTTTAGGTATAGCGCATCTAATATATGTGCTATACATTTACTTTGACCGCCTTTTGAAAATCAGGTATAGCGCATGTAAATCATGTGTTATACATAAAATGATTACAAATTTGTTTTTCAACTATTTTTGCGCTTTGAGTCCAAAAAAATAATACTTTGTTCCGGACTCCCTAAATGCCAATGAATTAAAAGTCTGTATCTCTTTAAAGAACATTGTATTGCTGTGCAGAAAAGTAGAGGCTACTAATATCTCAGAGGTCAATATGAAGATAAGGATATAAGGCACACGTGATCGAAAGAACACTGCCGTTTTTTAATAGTTTGTCCAATTTTACCAAATTTCTATCACCTCATACATTGATTACCAGTTACCACAGTAAGAACAGAGCAATCACTTATCCCTCATTTGTTAGGGTCAATGCTCTCAAGCATCTCAGCAAATACGCTGGTTCTTAGGACATTATTATCAACCTTTAGTACTCAAACACTATCCGGATTTGAAAATATTTTTCACTCTCCAACTAAACACCGGAAAACATTTTAGAAAAATGACTTCTATCGTACCAAATACATTCAAAAAGGTTTGCATCAATAAAATTGAAACTATCATTAATGCAGGGGAAGCTGAAACCTGCATTTTGAGGAAACAATCCCTCCTTGTACTTGTCAGTGTATTTCACATTGGCACATTCATACCAGGAATGTTGAGCACTGAAAGTGAATGAGGAATAAGAATTCTCAATCGCTCTTTTTAGTGAGGAGAATATTGCGTGAATGGTGGTTCTCATACACGAGAATCACTACTCTATAAATAAATTTTAAAAGTAGATTTTCTATGGTTGTATAAGTTGGCAAAAGAAACCAGAAAAACCTAGTTTACATATAGCAGAACAAAACTGAGTTTTTGCTGAGATACTTGAGAGCATTGACCCTAACAAATTCATAGCTGGAATGCATAGGAAAGCTCATTCAGCCTTACTGAGCTTGCTCGTTTTCTTGAAGTTCAATAGACAATTGTGCAGAATCTTGTGATTCCATAAGACCTTAAAGATTTCTTGTCGTGCTGTTTACTTGTTAAAGTGATTCTGCGCTGCTTTTAGAACTGTTAAGACATTGCAGGAATGTACAAAGGCAAATCAGTAAGGCTAGCACGAATACTGAATCTATCTATCCATAAAAAATTTAAACTATATCAGAACAACGTAACTTCACCTCCTGGTTCCGTTTTCTTTTCTTTTCTTCCTTCTTTCCATTATTGCAATCAAACCACAAAGATTGCGAATTTCTTAACAGCTGCATGCAATGAATCAATGTCATCAGTCTAATTGATCCATTACTAATTAAAAGAAACCAAGGAAAAATTAAGGTAACCATAGAATTTAAATTTTAGGAAATTGATGGAAGACTTGTATTTTAACATGAATAGACAGGCTTGTGTTTTCCACTCTTTCATGAATATAAACATACTAACACTATATGATATTAAGTAAAGAGTACAGCTGATTATCCCTGTATAAACAATGACCAAACAACAGAACAATGCAAATTCCATGCAACTAACTGGAGGCCCCAGAAGAAAATGTGTAATGATAAAAACATGGAACTTTCTCGTTTATAAAAGAAATTGTGATAAACTAATGCAACCTAGAAGTCATTGAAGTTGCTCTCCTATATGCTTCAATAGAACTAATTGATGAGGTTGACTCTAATGATAGAGTTACACTGACTGAATGAAACTTTTTGTTCACACTTCGCCCAGCAGATATGAGTGATGGCACAAAGTCTTTTTTTCCTTTTTTGCCTTTAATTAGTACACGTATATGAATTATGCAGAAGAATAAAACACCATCAATGTGACTGTAAAAAGAAGCTAGCAAAAACAGAATGCATTTTTTATGTTTCTGAATGCAATTTTTGCTTGCTGATTGAAAGCAGCATTCAGACATGAAAATATCTAATCCATGAAAATATAGCAGGTAATGTTCCTGTTGCCGGGGATCAGCTATAGATTGGATTGGCATGTCATGGATGAAGGTTTTGGTTTTATCTTTGAAAACAAAAGAATATATAAATGAAAAAGAAAGCCTTTTATAGATTAAAGTAGTCTAAGCTGGGGATCTGTTCGTTTTCTTTATTTGTATTTATCCTCACCTCTTCCTGAATTGATCAATGTGCACAGCATGAATGCAAAGTAGGCTGCGGGGCTTTGCATTGCATGTCATATAGCTTAATACCTTGATCTAAAATGTACCTGCATGATATTTACTGTCAAAATACAAAAATGGAATGGACAGGTACAAGAATGATACAACAAGGGAACCATTTATGGGCAGAAAAGAGAATAAAACAGTGGCAAGAGATTAAAGAGCATATTGGTAGCTTCACCATATACAGAAACAGAACGGAAACTCAATGAAGAAGAAAAGGCATAACAAGAGAGAGAGAGAGAGAGAGAGAGAGAGAGAGAGAGAGAACAGGGAGAAGAAGAGGTACATTCAGAGAGAACAAGGAGAAGCGGTACATTCATGTCCGCAGCATACTCCAGCCACCCTGATCTAAATTCTATTGCTATCTACAATGTCTCCCCCTTTTTTTTGGATAAATACTATGTAGATCTCCTTTATGGTTTCCTAAATTGTTCTTATCATTCTGACTTTTTACTGTGTTTTGATCTTTTGCTATATACTATCTTCATAAATATCCAAGCATTCTAAAGTTTTGGTAGATGTATCTTTCCAGCCCAGTGTTTGGTTGTACTCAAAATGATAACGATTCTCTCGAGTTCTGGTCAATTGTACAGTTATCTAGTTAGCAGATTCATCAATTATGGGGTTGACTTAAAAAACAGAAAGAAAGAAGACTTACAAACTTATTTACATTTATAAAGTGGCAAATTACATTCTTTATCATCTATGATGACTTAATATTTTCTGAAAAGTCAAACTCCAAAAATGCACAATAGAGGACCTTGAACATGATATTCATCGCAAGTAGGGAGTTTTCCGGGAATGCTAAGCGCCAAAATGAGCCTAAAATCCTGGAATTTAGTCTTCCACTTGGCAAAAGAAAAACATTATTCTCCTACAATCTGTACTTACTATTTAGTCCTAGTACAAGTACGATGGTCCTTTGTTTACTTTACAGTGAGATGTCAATGCTAAGGAGTAAAACAGTTCACAAAGAAGACAATCCATAACAAAACTAAGTATTTTAAAACATTACTAGTACACCAATCGGCAATAGCAAGTAAAAGCAGTTAGAAGATATTGTCAAAAGACAGAAAAGGTGAAATCAAGAATAGTGAACATCACACGCAAACAAGGACATTCTTTACAAGCCTTAATCTAGTCGAATGGTGGATCAGTAACAGGAACATCCAAGTATGATACAATAAAAAAAGGCAGCTCGGTGCACTAAGCTCCCGCTATACGCGGGGTCCGGGGAAGGGCCGGACCACAAGGGTTTATTGTACGCAACCTTACCCTACATTTCTGCAAAAGGCTATTTCCACGGCTCGAACCCGTGACCTCCTGGTCACATGGCAGTAACTTTATCAGTTACGCCAAGGCTCCCCTTCCAAGTACGATACAATGAGAATAGCGATTACCTGGCTGCCTGCTCCTTTTCGTTTAAACACATTTAGAAATGGTACTCATCTTAACTTAAGCAGTAGACTGCTACTTTAAATAGACTTCAAGCTTCAACCTTTCCCTTGCCAATGTAGCCAGATAGAACGACTCAAGATATTATCACTTAATCACGATATATCTCTTTTTTCAGATCTTGCCAAACTTGAAGGCCTTTAGGATGAGGGTTTACATATGCCTTCATGAATAATTTCTCTGAGGAAGCTATGATCGTGCTCAAAGCCAACTTTGCATCCACTATTCCTTCATCTCTGAGCCAATTATACATTGAAAGCCTAAGTCTGATTCTTGGAATTGTGTAGTTGAGGTAAGATGGAAACGAAACTAAAGTAGACAGCGGATAACCCAATTTATTCACAAGGAAATCAATCTTTGCCTCAAGTACCTCTTTCCTTTGGTTGAGTATTTGCGGATATATTTTCAGCACTGCCGCAACATGCTTTGTATCCAAACCAGCATTTACCAAACAATCAAACCTCTCTTGGAGCTCCACCCCTTTTCCTCGAAATACTTTGAGAGCTTTCTCCATCTCGCTCGAGTTCTCAGCAAAACCCAAATCCAAAAGGAACTTAGTTTTCATCATTTTGGATCTTAGTTCCTCATCAACTATTGGTAATCGTTCAACTTTGGCTCCACGAACCAAACTCCTCAAAAATTCTGGATTCTCCTTGATTACACTACAAAGCCGCTTCTTCCCGGTATTCAGGAATGTCAACAGGCTGGTAGCTTTCTTCAAAACACACGACCCTAGCAATGTAGGGTGAGAATGAACAATACTTCCTATCTCTAGCACAGGCATCTCGATTTCAATCAAGAACTGGTAGCATTGCCGCATATTGAATACAAATTTCGTTACTGGAATTTGTGGGAAGTGTAGAAATACATCAAGTAATTCAGGCTTCTGAAAACCAAATTTCAACAAGAATCCAATTAGCGAAAATGTAGTACGTCCGGAACAATCAAACAGGAGATCAGGAATTTGAATAATTAGTTTTCCTAATTCTTCATCATCTAACCCCAACCTGTTCAAGAAACACATGAGCTCGATTAACTGGCTCCAATTGAAAAAATTTCCATTCAACTGCTCCTCAATCCAACTGTATTCAACTCCCGCTCCCTTCAATTTCTCAACAACTTCAAAAAATTCATTGTGTACACTCCCAATCAAAAGATGAGGACTTGCACTAACAAGCTTAACTACAGCAGACTGATCTAGCCCAACCCCATGAAAAGAACGAAGTTTCGAGTCCAGAGCTCGAGGATCATATCTAAAAACTTCTGGAGCTTCAGCAAAAATCCTTCCTATCTTATTTCGCGAAATACCATAATTACACAAGACGTGATAGCTATCCAGCAACCTCTGGTCATCATTCAAGAACATCAAATCTCTGGGAAGGAATGCCAAGTACTGCGAAGGTCTCAGACCAATGCTCTCAAAGAATGGTTCAAATTCATTGATTGGATGGTATCGCAAGAATCGAGTTAAAGAATGACGAATATCAGTATCACTATCCACTCTTTTTAACAACTTGGAAAGGAAAAAGGGTGAGTTTTTACTCATGTGTTCAGCATCCATAAACTGCAAACTTCTAGTAGAATGCAAGTACTCTAACAAAGCAGCTTGTGCTTCTTTCCTCACTGCACGAGGTATATGACATTCTTCTTCTAATTTAGATTTAGCAGACTTTTTTGTTGCATAAAACCTAACCTTTTCAGCAATGTGGAACGACCCACTTGCCCAAAGAATCGATTTTGAAGATTTAGAATGGTTAAAAACAAAATTAAAAGAAACCCATTTGAGAATTAATGGAGTTCTCAGTTTCTGTAGTTGGTTCATGGCTAATGGTATCTGGGCTTTATGCAGTAAAGCAATGGACACAGAACAAGAAATATGCTTATTCAAGAAATGCCTTACCTTGAGACTTGTGGGATGTTGGCTTTGGACTCTGAGGGGAAAAGGGGTTTTGAGCTTTGACAACAATGACGTATGCTGATTCTATAGCAAGGTGAAAGCCATTCCAGGAGCTCAAGGTTGAAAACTTGAGAGTTGTCAAAGCAGAACTTCAGGAAGTGGTTTTTTCTCTGCCAAAATCGAAAAGGGTTTTAGGACCGGTAGGTAATGTGGTAGTTTTAAAAGAAATTCGGATCATTTTCGTCAACTTGCAAAAACTAAGGACCCATTTGGCCATAGATTTTGCCAAAATAAACTTGGGTTTTATTTGGCAAATACATGTTTGGCCATAGATTTTGCCTATATTTTGGCAAAATCCCAAATCCCAAAACCAGCTATTTATAAATAGCTGGTTTTGGGCCAAATCCCTAATAATACACATGTTTTTCCAAAATAAATTTGGAAAATATGTTTTGAAAACGTATGTCCAAACACATTTTCATCTTCAAGCCAAACCTCACCCAAAACAAATTTGGAAATTTATGGCCAAACGCTAGCTAAATCTCTTGAAGGGTGGTTTATAGCCTGTTTGGCCAAGCGCCAAAAACACTTTTTTTTCTCGCAAATAATTCATCAAAATCGTTGATAATTGACATTACATACAATTAATAAATCAACTACTAGTAAAGTTATATAGGGTAAAATATGGTATGACACGTGGTCATCCAAAAAAGGGACACATGGAACCCAAGACGGGGATGTCCAAAGACCGAAGTTAATTGTTTCGTTTGTCACCAGAAATAATAAAGATGTGATAAATGTTCTTCGCTCGGTAGCATTTAATAGAGAATATTCCATGGCATTAAGAGCAATTACCCGTTACAGAGAATTTGGCATTTATGTTCACCGTTATATCTTCATCAATGTACCTCATAATTGACATTGAAGTAGGGTACGATCCTAGGACCTCTTTCATTAGACATAACTATAAATAGCGAGCTCAGTTATCATTGTAAAGAAAAACAATTTTCTGGAAAACTTACGCTACATTCTATACAAAGCTTAATACCATCTTATCTTCTTACTTTTTGATTTCGTTGTTGTTGTGTCCGAAAACCCTGCTCCCGGAACTGTTGCTTCTGTTGTTTCGTCTATATCCTAAGGCTAAGTATTGCATAATTCTTCAATTATTTTATTATTTCGGATCAAATTAATTTATTTGTCTAGAAACCACGTATAAATTCAACTGTACCGTTTTACGGGTAAACAGTTTAGCGCCCACCGTGGGGCTTAGACAGCCGTGTAATTAAATTGATCCTTACCTTTTTTACTAACGTGTTTTGATTATTTTGTCTTAGAAAAAATCATAAGAAATNNAATAACAACATGCACAGCCTCGAGATTCGAGGGGATTAGCTTCATTTCGAGGACTCAATCGGTGACACCCACAATGAGGGGAATAACGCCACACCGGTGCATGACAGGCAATATCCTCGACATGTTCGGGAGACAACTCCCCATGATGTTGATGAGGAACATGTTGTTGATGCGGTAAGGGTCTTGCAAGAGCAACATGCAATCATTCTAGGTCACCTCACGCGACAGGATAAGGTTATGACGGAGTTGAAGCAGGCGTTGTCGGAAGCTTCAAATAATGTAAACAGACGAGATCTGATTCCTTCCGGGGCTCCCGCGAATCAAACAACGTAGAGGGTCGACAACAACACTCCCAGGGGTGAAATTGGCTCCGATGGGGCAGGGGGAGCGAATCCGGCCTCAATAACGAGAATGATCCTTTCAAGAATGAACTTTTACGGTTTGTGAGGAAAGTGAACGCCCGCATAGACCAGATCCCGGGCACAGCACCAGTGCTGAAAGGTCTGGACTCGAAAAAGTATACTCAATTGCCATACAAGCAAAGTGAGGCCCAGAGTTAATCCCTAAGCGGTTCAAAATGTCTGAACTGCCAAAGTATAATTGAATTTCAGACCCCCATGAGCATATTACCACCTACACAACGACGGTAAAGGGAAATGATTTAGCTCCTCACGAAATTGAATTTGTGTTGCTAAAGAAATTTGGAGAAACCCTCACAAGGGGAGCCTTGACATGGTATTCGTTGTTACCCGAGCATTCCATAGACTACTTTGAAATGCTCGTAGATTCTTTCATCAAGGCTCATGTCGGGGCTGAAAAGTACAGGCCCATAAGGCCGACATATTCAGGATTGCGCAAGGAGAGTCCGAGCTACTACGAGAGTTCGTTACCATTCTAGAAGGAGAGAATGTTGCCCCCGGCTGTCCCGGATGAATGGGCGGCTGAAGCATTCACCAAGGGATTGAATCTGAGGAGTTCAGACGCTTCCCGGAAAATTGAAGGAAAGCCTACTCGAGTCTCAAGCAATGGCCAGGGCGGATGTCCATAACAGGTACAAATCAAAATAAGGATCAAAGATGATCAGGTTGGTTTTCCATCGTCGACCAAAGGATGAGAAAAGAATAGAGAAAAATTAAAGGATGATTATGACGCGGACATACGAACTTCGAGGGGGCGATTTTTGCCTTACGAACGGACCGAAGGCCGCAATAGAGGTTTTCGGACAGCGGACAGGTTCTCCGTTGACAGGAGGACTGATCATGGTCAGAATAATCGATCACTGTAGGATAAAGAAGCATCAGGGTCACGAGATCCTTCTTACCCCAAGTTATTGGAATAAAACTTCAACGTCAGTATAGTGGAGTTAGTGTCGGCCATGAGAAATATCAAAGAAGCACGGTTCCAGAAACAGATGATATCTGATCCCAGCTAGAGGGATCCCAACTTATGGTGTGAATACCACGGGACAAATGGCCACTGGATAGGGTACTGTCGACATCTCCGGGAAGAAGTGGCAACATTATTGAAGAATGGTCACCTTAGAGAATTCTTGAGTGACCGAGCTAAGAACAATTATGGTCATAACCGGGACAACGCGGAACCCTCGAAAGTAGGAAAAGATCCCCTGCATCAAACAATCAACATGATCTTCGGAGGGAACGAGATTAAACGGGTCACCTTTTCAGCAACAAAGAAGATTAAAGTATCAATAACGCATATCAAAAGGCTTCGAAAAGACAATATCACTTTTACTGAGGAGGACACAGACGGATTGCTGCTACCACACAACGACGCACATGTAATTTCTGTAAATGTGCTAGATTTTAAGATTAAACGTGTTTTAGTGGATCCAGGAAGTTCGGCTAATATCATACAATGGAGAGTATTAGAGCAGGCTAAACTCACCGGAAGCATTATTCCGGCCACAAAGCTCCTCGCCGGATTCAACCTCGCAATTGTGATAACCCGGGGAGAAATTTTATTACTCACGAACGCTGAAGGAGTAATAAAACAACTCTTTTCGAAGTGGTAAATGGTAATATGGGATACAACATCATTCTGGGAAGGCCATGGTTGCACGAGATGAAAGTTGTACCATCAACATATCATCAATTGCTGAAGTTTCCAACGCCCGAAGAAATTAAGCAGATAAGGGGTGATCAACCGGGGCAAGAGAGATGAATGTAATTTCGGTCTCCAGTAGCAAAGGAAAGGAACACATGGCATAACAATTACAGGGACCGGAACCTACTCCCGAACAAGATGAAGTTAGCCCAGGGGCAGAGGCGTCGGAATATTATCAGGTGCCGAGATATTTCCAAGTTCCAGAAGAGACTGATGCAACGAAGTTCACAGCGGAAGAGCTAGAGCAAGTGGCATTGGTCGAAGAATTCCTAGAAAGGAAATTCCTCTTGGGAACAGGACTGCACCCAGAACTCAGGTCCGACTTTATTAAATTCCTTAAATCTAACGCCGATTGTTTTACATAGTCGCATGAGGATATGACATGCATCCCGACAGAGGTAGTCATACACAAGTTAAGCTTGGATCCCAACATACCTCCAATAAGACAAAAGAAACACCTGATTGCCGAAGCCAGGAATAAATTTGTCAAAAAAGAGGTAACCCGCTTACTTAGTATCAGTTCAATCCGAGAGGTAGGATATCCAGACTGGCTAGCCAATATAGTAGTAGTTCCTAAGAAGAACAATAAGTTTCGCATGTGTGTAGATTATAAAGATCTTAACAAGACATGCCCAAAAGACTCGTTCCCACTACCAAACATCGATCAAATGATTGATGCGATGGCCGGGCATGAGTTAATGAGTTTCCTCGATGCTTATTTCGGGTACAACCAAATTAAGATGAACCAGGAGGATCGGGAAAAGACTTCTTTTATAACGAATTTCGGTATATGTTACTACAATATGATGTCCTTCGGGTTGAAAAACGATGTAGCCACTTATCAATGGCTCGTGAATAAGATGTTTGAAAATCAAATTGGAAAAACTATGGAAGTTTATATAGACGATATGTTTGTTATGTCTTTAAATGCAGGTGATCATCTTAAACATCTGCAAGAAACTTTCGACATCCTTAGGAAGTATAATATGAAACTTAATCCCGAGAAATGCGCGTTCGGGGTCAGCTCTGGTAAGTTTCTAGGATTTTCTGGTATCACAAAGTGGAATTAAGGTAAACACCGATAAAATCAAGGCCATAGAAGACATCCCGGATCAACTATCAAACGCGAAGGAAGTCCAAAGGCTTACGAGGAGATTGGCAGCTTTGAGCAGGTTCATTTCCCGGTCATCAGAAAAGTGTCATCGTTTCTTCGCATTGCTCAAAAAGAAAAATAATTTCGAATGGACCCTGGAATGCCAACAGGCTTTAAGGGATTTAAAAAAGTACTTGTCAAGCCTTCCATTGCTTTTAAAACCAAAAAAAGGTGAAATGTTGCTAGTATATCTCGCGGTCTCAGAAGTTGCGGTAAATGCGGTTTTAGTCAGAGAGAACAAAGGTACACAATCTCCAATTTATTTATTAGTAAAATTTTAACGGGAGCAGAGACTCGCTACCCATATTTGGAGAAACTACCTTAGCTCTCGTAGTCGCCGCTCGGAATCTGAGGCCCTACTTCCAATGCCACCCGATAGCCGTGGTGACTACTTTTCCTTTGCGGAACATCCTCCATAAACCCGAGCTCTTTGATAAATTGGCCAAATGGGCCGTCAAAATGAGTGAATTCGACATAGAATATAAACCAAGGACTGCAATTAAGTCGTAAGTCTTGGCTTACTTTGTGGCCGATTTCAGTCCGGGATT